ATCATTTCTTTCTGTGAAAACAGTCAGCAGGTTAGATTCCCTGCTTGTTACCGTGTGGGCAGAGCTGTTCTGCAAGGTTTCCCAAACCTCACATGTTCTTTATGATCTCTGTCCTCACACCAAGTTCGTGTGACACCATCACGTGTCAGCAGATCATTAACAGAAGAGAACAGCCTCTAACCAACTTGAGGACCAATGAGGAAGCTGCTATTATTATTTATCCTTTTTCCTTAAAATGAAGCCAGAAAGTCCAAATTCTGTCCAAACTTTTGTGCCACAACAGACCTGCAACATTGCTCCTCTCTTCGCCCATAGTACTTAAACAATCACAAGAATGTTTTGATGCAGGCTATTGTAAACCTACTTTACCTAAATGTGAAGCTGTACTGTAGATAAACATAAATGCATGATCAGACAAGTTTCAGGGGATACTCAGATGTGGTCAGGGGCAAAAAATATGAATGTCTGTGATACACACAGTCATTTGATTTCATGTTTTAGTGCAACAATGCACATTTGTACAGTACAACATATTTTCATCACTCTCCCCATCTACGTCCTTTCAGCTCACGGCAGATCACAAGACCTTCCCAGGGCAGGTGGGATGTGTAATCCACTCAGCGACTTTCTGACCTGCATGCAAATCACATGCTGAACCACCTAAACTGGCTCTTTTCTACACAGAGTAGCAGTGGTTCTACTCACCCTGTACAGGAAACTCATGTCAGCTGCTTCATTTTACAATCTGTCGTTGAGTCACTACCACACAATAAAGACAGTAGGTGTCACGGTTGCCAAGTGCCAAGACAGACAGAGACAGGAAAACAGGGATTTGGGCCCAAACATGCTACGCAATATCCAATAATCCAAGTGTTCAAGTCCAGAACCTAAGTAAAATTAATCCAGTGAACAGTGAACAGGTAATGATTGCAAATCCATAAACATAATAAATCCAGGGAGCATATCTGTAAATCTGAAAACACAACTGAATCATCGAAAAAGACTGGGGACAGCATTAACTAACAAACAATGAACAAAGGGAACACCAAGACTTATATACAGAAACAAAGGGAGCAAAGGGATTGAACAAAAGTGGAACACACTGAAAAACGGGAATGAAAGGAAACACAGCAAGACACGAACAAAAGACACATGACAAAATAAAACAGGAAACACAGATGGAATGCATAACTAAACAAAACATACAAAACATAATCAAGGACAAAGAGGGACACTACAGAGTCAGGCAATTACCAAAAAAACGCAAGACACACATACCCAAAACTGACATCCCCTTCCCTGTTAAATTCTTTCACCACAAAGTTCTCAAACAAAATCAAATATTTGTCCAAAACAGTTCAGAACAAAAAGTTCAAGTCAAACCAGGGTGGAGAGGAGGTAGGTCTGGAGGATGGCAAGTGATACAGGTGCAAAAAAACCTGCCTGAAGGCTGGACTGGAGGGGAGCTGAAGACTTTAGGCAGATGGCTGAACTGAGGAGTCGAATAGGTCTGGAGGATGACCGGCCAGGTGGCTGACAGCCAGAGGGGAAACCCTCCGGAGGCTTGAGAATAGGACAGAAAACCTCTGTAGGCAGAGAGTTGCAGGTGGGACAGAAAGTTGCTGTGGCTTGACAGCAGGGACATGAGTTGGATGAACCACCGACTGAACATTAGGAAAACAAAACGGTCTTAAAGCAGTCAGTCCAGGGTCAGACAGGAATAACAAGCAGATGGGCAGAGAACAGAGCATGGGCACCAGACAGGGAGGCCTCACGCGGGTTGCCTGAGGCCTGAGCAGGGGGGCCAGACAGTTCAGGGAGATGACCCTTAGGTCAACCCAACAGGCTAAGGAGGGCAGAATAGAACTAAAGGTTGACCCGCAGGGAAGCATAACAGGTCAGGAGGTCGGCCTGGAGGTTGACCCAAGAGGCAGATTGGATCCAGGGGTCAGCCTGAGGGTTGGACACCCAGGTCAGGAGGGGGGCAGGGCAACCTGACTGCTGGGCTGGTAACTGGCAACGGGGAAGATGACTGGACAGCCAGGCTGGAAACCAGCAATGGGGCGGGCAACTGGACAGCTGGGCTGCCTACCGGCAACGAGGTAGGCAACTGCACAGCTGGGCTTTGTACTGGCAACTGGGAGACTGGGCTAGGAACCGGTAACAGAGAAGCTGGACTGGAAGCTGATAACTGGACCACTAGACGAGAAACCGGTGTTGGTGCATTGGGGGCTGGATGAGGGGTTAGTTGGACCACCGATGGACAACCAGGTGCAGGAGTCCGTTGGACCACCAACGGAGGACCAGAAGCAATCGTCAGGCATACCACTGACAGAGAACCAGAAGCAGGAGTTGGTCAGACAAGCAACGAACAACCAGAAGCAATCGTCAGTCGAACCACCGACGGGGAACCAGAAGCAGGAGTTGGTCAGACAACCAATGAACAACCAGAAGCAATCGTCAGTCAGACAGCCGACGGGGAACCAGAAGCAGGATTTGGTCAGACTCACCAACGGAGAAGCAGGTGTTGGTCGGACCACCGACAGAGAACCAGAAGCGGGACTAGGGTTGAACCAGTGAATGGGAACCAGGAGCGGGTGTTCGTTGGACCACCGAACGACAACCAGGAGCAAGTGTAGGCGGAGCAGGTGTCGGTCGGACCACCAACCGTGAACCAGGAGCCGGAGTCGGTCGGATCACCGACAGAGAAGTAGGTATTGGTCGGACCACCGAAGCAGAAGTCGGTTGGACTACCGACAGAGAAGCAGGTGTTGACTGTACCACCGATGGAAAACCAGGCAGGACAGGAGCAACCCCTATGATACCGAGCAACACGTATCTGAGGGGTTGGCCAACTGAGTTGCCGTTGAGCTGGGCAGTGGACTGGGCAGTGGAGACTGTGGGACGAGGGGTGGTCGAAGCTGAAATTTGGCGTCAGGAGCCATGATGTCCACGTCACCTCTAATGACATCCACTTTTCCCAGGGAAGATGGCCAAGCGGGTCCCCACAAAGGATTGCTGGTTGAAAACTTCTTACTCCAAGTCCATGCAAAGGTCATTCAATCCCTCCGACATTGTATCTTCTGGGTCCTTTAAGGTCGGTAAATTCTGTCAGGATTTGCGGTGTGTGTGAACAGGTTGAGGACCCAAATGCAGGACACAGGAACAGAACTAAAGCGAGCACACTTTCTGAGAAAGGCTGAAACAAATCCACACAAAAGAGTTTCTGGAGAGCAGATCAGCTAATTCTATGTGACCCTGGGGTACAGGCCAAAGAGTAGCAGTGAGAACGAGGACCTGGCCAGCGGAGGCTCTGGGGTGAAGAGAGGTTTAGGCTTCAAGTAGCATCAGGAGAGATAACCACCATATGTTTTTGCGGCCTCTTTGTGGCTTGCACATGTGGCCTAAAGGTGTAAATTAGCTCTCACCTCTATCTGGCACAATGCAATTTTTTTACATTGTTTCTGCTATTTAAAAAACTAAATTATTTATCAATTCAAAAACCCACTTTCGAGGCAAGCATGGCCGGCTCAAGCATAGACAGTATATAAGAAATTGACGTAGTCATCGTGACGTCACCCGTTGGTTTGTGGACTGCCGTTTTGAAGCCTCAATTTGGCCGATAGGCGCCATGTCTAATTTTTGCAACCAGGAAGTGCCTGGAAGTGACGATACGGCAGAGCTTACAGCCGTGTGCGGAGCTAGCTAGCTTGCTTAGCTAGGTGCAACTGTAACTCACGTTAACTGTCATTTTAACAGGGCTGATCATTTTGTCTAGCGAACAACAGTCTTAAAACTAAATGTACTCACCAGAGAAAGTGAACAGCCAACTCCTCATAAGCTTTTTCAATTGTGCTGGTTAAATTTACACAGTGCCGAGGGTACGAGTCAGCTCTAGCCTGATTGACAGGTCGCTATGGTAACGACTTATCAATCAGAGATAATCCCGCCCTGAAACATAATCTGCTTTGTGGTCTATTTTAAAATAAATGGGACCATGATTTACTAAATGAACATTATTTTGTTTTGAAGAAGACTTGAAACTAGCGACTGAGACCATAAACTCATCAGGAAAATGTTTACTGTGGTAATTATTCAGCTGAGAAGTAGGGTAATTTTAAAACAGGAGACACAGAACAACCAGTGACCACACTGTCTAACCAAGACCATGTCTGTATTTTATTTGTTCCCTTCACAACCAAGCCGCCATTTAACACAGAGTTGTTTACAAGATGTGGATAAAGATAGTAAAAGAGCCTTTTCTGCCTATTAATTCTGGTTATATCGTATATCAATCATATTTTCTACCATATATTTCCACAGCCATATATTGTTAAATGTCATAAATATGAAAGTAGTTTTTTCTTTTGGTAAAAATTTTAAATATAAAAAAGAAGTGGAAACATATTCCACCTCAAAATGCACAAGCTCAGTTTTGAAAGTTTTACTGTTATATTTACTTGAATTGGACGCACAAACATCTGACAATCAAGATGGTTCAATTTTATTAGTAGTTTGGTGCTCAGCTAGCCAACATACTGAAGAAGGAGAGAGAACAGATTGTTCTGCAGACACACTCCAGCATCCTTACATGGCTCTGAGTCACATTAAGACAATTACAAATGCAGTCCACTGTCACATTAAGAATACATCAAGAGTTAAAGACTTACTGTATATCTCAGCAGGATTTACAAAGATTTTATTGTTGGAAACAACATCTTTTGCCAGTACACATTTCATGAATCTTGACTTATTTTTTTTTCTCCATTTTTAAGAACACAGTTAAAGGAAAATATATGAAAACAGTAGTTGTTGAGACAGATTGTAATGTGTTGAACTAGACCCAAAAAATCACTGTCTTCATACTTTCTGACTGTACTGCACTGTACATCTTGCATTGTGTGAGAGAAACCCGTCTTTGACACAGCCTCAGCTAAATTATGAAGTTTCACATATGATTTACTTCAGAGTTATATAATTGGAACAATTTATTTGGCATAGGTGTTAATAGTATTGTGTCCACTGATTTATTTCTCAATCTATCAAGAATATAGACAATAAATGCTGGTAGATAAACATGTGTAGTTCAATTCTAAGGCTGGTAAGTGATGTGTTTGTCCTGACAGTTTGAGATTGTTTTGTCTTACAATATGACTGCTTGTTTTTCAATTGTATTGAACTATTCAAATTTTAATAAACTCAGATTGAATCCCACACAGGTATATGAATCTATAGATTCAGAGAGATGAATGCAGTCTCAGTGACTTTCAGTTCACTTCAAGCAATAATAGCATGTGTTGTTTTTACAAATACACAATGTTGTCCCCCAAAACCATGAAACTACAGTCAATCTCTACAGTTGGCCTTGGCTGGGGCTACTGAGCATTTCAGTCGAAAGCATAGATTGTACATGAGGACGGGTCTGATGGTCTGGTCTCTGAGGCCATAGATGAGAGCACTCAGACATCTGGGGAGGAGGACCATACACAGATAAAAAAAAACCTGGATACGCGCAATCACTAACCTCGTTACAATTTGTGAGATAGCTAAGAACAATGAGTTTAAAAGTGTTGAGGAGAGAATTAGGCCCAGCTGCACCAGATGCAGCAGCAGTGTGTTACAAGCTTTACGGGCTGAAGCTTTGTCTGTGGAGGCCGACCTGGCTGCTATCATCACACCAATATAGGAGGAAGTTATTACCAAACCTGCTGATACAAACAGAAAGAAAGTGTAGGCTTTGTCATAAACAGCAGATACTGGGTAAAGAAACATGGCTGTGATAGAACACACATCTTTCATCTGCAGGTCTTGAAAGGGAAATATTATTAGCAAAATAACCCGAGTGAGGACATTTAGTGAACTGAAGGTCCAAACCCCAGTGACAGCCCCCCCTGTGTTTCTGATGGTGATGATGGCAGCGTGCCTCAGTGGGTAACACACAGCTACAAATCTCTCCAAAGACATCACCACCAGTGTGAGAGGAGAAATATTACCTGTAAGAATGGAAAGCATGTTAAGAACACCACACACAGGATACGTCAGCAATATTCTACAAGAAGCGATTACATACATTAACTGGCTCAGTGCCATCTGTACAGTGTCTGCAAAAAGGAGGTTAAACAGAAGAATGTAACGGGGAGTCGCACAAAACACTGGTTTACTCCTCAAGGTGAATAACAAGGTCCCATTAATGAAGAGAAACACACAACATGGCACTGTAGTCACAATGGAAGATGACACTCTTTCCAGTAACCCCAGATACTGAGACTGATTTGCATATGACATCTTAAAGCAACAGTAAAGACATGAAAATCCTCTTGTTGATGTAATCAGATAAAAGCACAGTGAATCCAGTCCAGTTTGTATTCCTAAAAACAGTGAACAGTGATCTTTAGAGCAGAACCCAGAATCATCCACATCATTTCTTTCTGTGAAAACAGTCAGCAGGTTAGATTCCCTGCTTGTTACCGTGTGGGCAGAGCTGTTCTGCAAGGTTTCCCAAACCTCACATGTTCTTTATGATCTCTGTCCTCACACCAAGTTCGTGTGACACCATCACGTGTCAGCAGATCATTAACAGAAGAGAACAGCCTCTAACCAACTTGAGGACCAATGAGGAAGCTGCTATTATTATTTATCCTTTTTCCTTAAAATGAAGCCAGAAAGTCCAAATTCTGTCCAAACTTTTGTGCCACAACAGACCTGCAACATTGCTCCTCTCTTCGCCCATAGTACTTAAACAATCACAAGAATGTTTTGATGCAGGCTATTGTAAACCTACTTTACCTAAATGTGAAGCTGTACTGTAGATAAACATAAATGCATGATCAGACAAGTTTCAGGGGATACTGAGATATGGTCATTTGATTTCATGTTTTAGTGCAACAATGCACATTTGTACAGTACAACATATTTTCATCACTCTCCCCATCTACGTCCTTTCAGCTCTGCCAGATCACAAGACCTTCCCAGGACAGGTGGGATGTGTAATCCACTCAGCGACTTTCTGACCTTCATGCAAATCACATGCTGAACCACCTAAACTGGCTCATTTCTACACAGAGTAGCAGTGGTTCTACTCACCCATTTGCCATTTGTTTCTGGTGTCCTTCTGTTTACCTGTTCTTCTCATTTCCTTGTCCTTAGTGTTTATGTCTTGTCTGGTGTTCTAGCTTGTAGTCCTGTGTTGATTTGATATTGCTTTGGTTTGGTAGTCTAGTTGTTTATTGTCACCCAGTGTAACAGTGTGTTACCTTGTGTTGCTGTGTTGCCGTGTTGCCTTGTTGCCAGCCTACTCATCGTGTCTCCCTGTTTCCCTGCTTATTTTGGATTTTGGATTCTGGTTTTCTCGTTTGGATTACTTTGTTTTGGACTCTGTCATCAGCCACTCAGTTTGTAAGTGTGCTCGCCTTTGTTTGTTTATTAAAACCCCTTGAACTGTACCTCCTTTGCCTTGCGTCCTGCATTTGGGTCCTCCAACTTGCTCAACCCTGCCTTTACCACCAAACCATGAAAGAATGACCCGACCACACATGGACCCAGCAGACGCAAAAATGGAGAGGGAGAGGTTCATGGACGTTTTGGCCGAACTATCTGGCAGTTCGCGTCAAGCCGCAAATCCCGGCAAGCTGCCCTCGTTAAGGCTCACTGGGAGGTAGCCGCAAGGCCATGGCTGCGACGTCGACTGCCAAGGTGGGCCAAGTGTTTTGTGAACTCCAGCCCCAAGCCTGTTTCCTGGTCCGCTAGCACTGCTAGCCCCCAGCCTGTTTCCTGGCCTGCAAGTGCTGCTAGCCGCCTGCCCGACCCTTGGCCTACTCCTGCTCCCAGGTTCCACTCGGTGGTCCGACCGGCACCTGCTTCGCCGGTGGCCCAGCCGACTCCTGTTCCCTCCTCAGCTCCTCGTGTCCGGTCCATGGTCCCCAGCCCAGCTGTCCAGTCGGTGGTCAGACCGACTCCAGCTCCTCGTGTCCGGTCCATGGTCCCCAGCCCAGCTGTCCAGTCGGTGGTCAGACCGACTCCAGCTCCGCGTGTCCGGTCCATGGTCCTCAGCCCAGCAGCTCAGTCCGTGGTCCTCAGCCGTGCTCTGCCACCGGAGATCCCGGGCTCCCTACGCCGGTCCCCGGCCCGACCTTTGGAGAAGCCTCGCCTTCTTCGGCATCTGGTGGGTCCCTTCCATCATCTGCAACCCCTGCTGAGACCTTTGGAGAGATCTCGCCTTCGTCGCCGGTCTCTTGGAAGGGTTCGCCTTCATCGCCGGCCTCCTGCTCAGTCTCCGGAGCGATCTCTTCTTCGCTGCCGACCTCCAGGGAGGATTAGTTTCTGTCTCTGGCCCCCTGCCCGGCCTTCAGAGAGGTCTCGCCTTCACCGTCGGCCCCCGGCCTCCAGTGGGTTTCCAGCCTCTTTGTTGGCCTTCCTGCCGTCCCCCTGAACTGTCCGGCCTCCAGCGCCGTACTCCGGGACGGCCACCTGAATGTTGTTGCTTCCCTGTTCTGTCTGGCCTGTTGGGTCGTCCTCCGGGACGACCTCCTGAACTCTGTTCTCCCCCTGATTTGCCCGGCCTCATGGGTCACCCTCCGGGACGACCCCCTGAAGTTCAAGTTCAAGTTCATTTTATTTATATAGCACGTTTTATAGCAGCCACTGACTGACCAAAGTGCTTTACAGAATTAAAAGACAATAATACCATGCATAACAGCACAGCATAGAAAAGTACAGCAAAGTTAAGAACAGCTTTAAACAGGAGTAGCCAAAGCAGTGTCAGACTCGTCAACAATAACAATAAAAAACAGAAATGCCAGTATCAGACTTAGATAGAAAAAACAGCATCATACTCCAAGGAGAGAAAATTTACAAAAAATAAATAAAAAATAAAAATTATAATAATATATATAAACACCCTTATTTATAGGTCAAGGAAAACAAGTGCGTTTTTAAGAATTGGGGTGATATGGTCATGGTGATATGGAGTTTTCGAGGTTCCGCAGTAAAGTGAATTGCAGTAATCCACACGTGTGGTGATAAAAGCATGAACAGACATCTCAAGAGTTTTAGGATTAAGAAAAGGTTTGATTTTTGACAACAGACACAGTTGATAAAAACTAGAGATTTGTTTATCAAAATTTAAAGACTCATCCAGTAGAACGCCTAGGTTCCGTACACTTGAAGATCTAAAAGCTGATAGTCTGCCTAGGTCGAAGGTGGCAGCCTGGGGATTAACAGTGGACCCGAAAACAATGATCTCTGTTTTGTTTTCATTTAAAAATAAAACATTTTGGTCCAGCCAAAATTTTACTTCATCTAGACAACCTAGTAATGATGAAAGGGCAGAGGGATCATTTCTATTGAGTGGAACGTACATTTGAGTGTCGTCTGCATAACAGTGAAAAGATACCCCATGTCTTCTTAGAGTGGTGCCCAGTGGTAACATGTATAGGGAGAAAAGAGAAGGGGCTAAGATAGATCCTTGAGGAAGGCCACAGGTTAGATGCGCAACAGAAGAGGAGCAATTTCCTAACTCTGTTGCCCACCTGGTCCGTTGGGTTATCCTCCAGGACGACCCCCTGAACTTTTGTTCCCCTCTGGCCGCCTCGGTCAGCCTCCTGAACTGCCTTGCCCTGTGTGTTTGGCCTCCCCGCTGTACTCTGGTCCCCTTCTGTCTGCTCCTTGGACTGTGGGTTTTTTGTTTTTTCTGCCACCAAACCGTGACACTGAGACCATAAACTCATCAGGAAAATGTTTACTGTGGTAATTATTCAGCTGAGAAGTAGGGTAATTTTAAAACAGGAGACACAGAACAACCAGTGACCACACTGTCTAACCAAGACCATGTCCGTATTTTATTTGTTCCCTTCACAACCAAGCCGCCGTTTAACACAGAGTTGTTTACAAGATGTGGATAAAGATAGTAAAAGAGCCTCTTCTGCCTATTAATTCTGGTTATATCGTATATCATTCATATTTTCTGCCATATATTTCCACAGCCATATATTGTCAAATGTCATAAATATGAAAGTAGTTTTTTCTTTTGGTAAAAATTTAAAATATAAAAAAAGAAGTGGAAACATATTCCACCTCAAAATGCACAAGCTCAGTTTTGAAAGTTTTACTGTTATTTTTACTTGAATTGGACGCACAAACATCTGACACCCAAGATGATTCAATTTTATTACTAGTTTGGAGCTCAGCTAGCCAACATACTGAAGAAGGAGAGAGAACAGATTGTTCTGCAGACACACTCCAGCATCCTTACATGGCTCTGAATCACATTAAGACAATTACAAATGCAGTCCACTGTCACATTAAGAATACATCAAGAATTAAAGGACTTACTGTATATCTCAGCAGGATTTACAAAGATTTTATTGTTGGAAACAACATCTTTTGCCAGTACACATTTCATGAATCATACCTAGTTGACTTATTTTTTTCTCTCCATTTTTAAGAACACAGTTAAAGGATAATTGTAATGTGTTGAACTAGACCCAAAAAATCACTGTCTTCATACTTTCTGACTGTACTGCACTGTACATCTTGCATTGTGTGAGAGAAACCCGTCTTTGACACAGCCTCAGCTAAATTATGAAGTTTCACATATGATTTACTTCAGAGTTATATAATTGGAATAATTTATTTGGCATAGGTGTTAATAGTATTGTGTCCACTGATTTATTTCTCAATCTATCAAGAATATAGACAATAAATGCTGGTAGATAAACATGTGTAGTTCAATTCTAAGGCTGGTAAGTGATGTGTTTGTCCTGACAGTTTGAGATTGTTTTATCTTACAATATGACTGCTTGTTTTTCAATTGTATTGAACTATTCAAATTTTAATAAACTCAGATTGAATCCCACACAGGTATATGAATCTATAGATTCAGAGAGATGAATGCAGTCTCAGTGACTTTCAGTTCACTTCAAGCAATAATAGCATGTGTTGTTTTTACAAATACACAATGTTGTCCCCCAAAACCATGAAACTACAGTCAATCTCTACAGTTGGCCTTGGCTGGGGCTACTGAGCATTTCAGTCGAAAGCATAGATTGTACATGAGGACTGGTCTGATGGTCTGGTCTCTGAGGCCATAGATGAGAGCACTCAGACATCTGGGGAGGAGGACCATACACAGATAAAAAAAAACCTGGATACGCGCAATCACTAACTTCGTTACAATTTGTGAGATAGCTAAGAGCAATGAGTTTAAAAGTGTTGAGGAGAGAATGAGGCCCAGCTGCACCAGATGCAGCAGCAGTGTATTACGAGCCTTACGGACTGAAGCTTTGTCTGTGGAGGCCGACCTGGCTGCTATCATCACACCAATATAGGAGGAAGTGATTGCCACACCGGCTAATACAAACAGAAAACAAGTGTAGGCTTTGTCATAAACAGCAGATACTGGGTAAAGAAACATGGCTGTGATAGAACACACATCTTTCATCTGCAGGTCTTGAAAGGGAAATATTATTAGCAAAATAACCCGAGTGAGGACATTTAGTGAACTGAAGGTCCAAACCCCAGTGACAGCCCCCCCTGTGTTTCTGATGGTGATGATGTTAGCGTGCCTCAGTGGGTAACACACAGCTACAAATCTCTCCAGAGACATCACCACCAGTGTGAGAGGAGAAATATTACCTGTAAGAATGGAAAGCATGTTAAGAACACCACACACAGGATACGTAAGCAATATTCTACAAGCAGCGATTACATACATTAACTGGCTCAGTG